GGAGTAACAACTATATGCAATTTGAAACATGTGGGTCAAACTGTTCTTGAATTATTGTTAACCGTAGCAAAATGTTGGACAGACGGACGGACGGACGTACGACGGACGACACACCATGGCAATAGCTCATCTTGACGATGTCAAAGCGAGCTAAAAAAAACCACGGCTCAAGATGATTTTTACTAACGGTTGCCTATCCGATGATCATCCTGTTTTTGTACATATCACATGTTACAACATACATGCAGCAGCCGCATAGCAACATGTAATACAGCGAGCTGGGACAAAAAAAATGCCAATAAAAAGTCCATGTTTTACCAACTTTGTAAGAGAAGCGGTAACCGTGTTTTACACCCGCCAACAAGAATGACAGCTAACGCCTCCTCCGACCCAATAATGCTCCCCTAGCAACGGAGAGAATGAAGAAGTGAACCGCAAATGCATGCAAGCTAGGTTGAAAAACCGTGATCGAAATCCCAGTGCAATACTTTCGGATCGAATTCGGTTTGGGGCGATCCAAATCGAAAATAAAACGGCGAAGTGACCCCCACAGAAATCCTCGGGTGCTGCGTTATACCGTTGCGGTCCAGCCCCAGTTTTATGCAGATGCAAAAACAAAACGAGCGTGCACGCACCTGTGGGTTACTCCGACGGTCGCGTGCGGTCAACGCCGCGGTGGCCGAAGATTCGGACGTCGACGCGGACTGGCTGGAATCCCAGGAGAACGTGTCCGCATCATCTGCATCTGTAATCGTTAGGCAATCAATCATGTAGATATGCGGCGAACGCACCAACAAGCGCCGAGGTGCGAACATTGTACATGCAGACGCTTGGGACCACGAGTATATATGTTATGTCCTAGCGCATGGCATTGTACCTAGGAGCAGTGAGAGCGAGCCCAAACTACGCTATGGTGCCGTTACAATGACAGTTATTACCACGAGAACACGTGTACTCCGTCTATATTGTTATATAGTTTCAAAGTACTATGTCTGTTGTGTTCATGGAATGATAGACACATGCATGTGTTTACCGTATTAATTTTTGCTCCTGCTAACAAACACGTTGTTTTCGTCATTATTGACATCGTCCGTTAACGTGACATCAGGTGCTATCATGTGCTACATATCTTTACGGTATTAATTATTGATCATGCTAACGAACACGTTGTTTTCGTCATTATTGACATCGTCCGTTAACGTGACATCAGGT